GCAATAACAGCAGCAGCAATAACAGCAGCAGCAATAACAGCAGCAGCAATAACAGCAGCAGCAATAACAGCAGCAGCAATAACAGCAGCAGCAATAACAGCAGCAGCAATAACAGCAGCAGCAATAACAACGACAGCAACAACGACGATATCAAAGTACATTGTATTACCACAGGAGAAATAGGCCGTCTCATCGCAAGGGGGCCACAGTTTCTTGGGGCAAGCCAGAAAGCATAACGTTCTCGGTGGCTTCCGTTGCTTTTCTTTCATGCCAATGTTTGTTTCCGTTGCTTGGACTTTGCACATGGCGTTGCAGCTAATCGTATAATGTTGAAGTCTAGTCTTCTGACTCAACTAATCTATAACGCGATGGTGGCAGCATTTCCCTTTGAAAGCAATAGTTGTGCTTGAGTGATGTGTCATTCCCGTCTTCAGTAAACATCACTTGCGTCTCTGTCCCATATCTGCTTCTCTTGCGGTGTGCGAAATACCCAATCCCCATTTTCAATCGTTTCCAGCTGCATCAGGACGGTGATCCCGAACTTGTGGTCTGCCTTCAAGTGCTCATCACGGGGCGCCCCGGCGACTTGCTGAAGGGTTGGCTCTCCTAGTTTCCGTTGTCAGAGATTGTCATCGACTCCACGTTGGCGGCGGTCGATGAGGTTTCCACCGGCTCGATAAATCCACGGAAGAGTTCTGTGTCTTCGTCCGTACGGCACTTTGGCGGATGGCGAGGATGCGCGGTTCGCAATCGGCCCTGCTGTTTATGGATGCTTGATTTTCTGGAAAGTTGGTTTGAAGCCGTGATGCGAAGTGGAGATGCATTCGGGACAGTGACGAGCCCTTTTTTTTTTTTTTTTTTATCTCAGCTTCTTGTTGTATTCATCCCAGGCCTGCGCGTCTTTCGATCCAGGTTCAGGCTGCCCGGTGGCGATCATGTTCAATACGAGCTCCTTGGAGATAACCCAAGGTTCGGGTGGGCCCGGGGCTCTCTTGAAGCACACTTGCCCTGTCTTTGTGTCAATACTATATTCCCAGTGGTGATCCATTGGTCTATTTGCCCCGATTGGTGTGAGAACACCAGCGGTATCCTCTTCCGGATTGCCAGTGGGAAGCGAAGCAGTAGAAGCGTTATTGTCAAGCCGATCTGTTGAATTTGATGCTGAGACTGTTTTGTCGTCTCTGGACTCAATGGGCACAGCTTGCAATTCCTCCGCGACCCATCTAAAAGCTCGTCAGACGGCTTCGCACTGGTAGGCAGTCCTTGGTCGAGTTCATGGAGTATGATCTTCTTCACGACGATGACTGGCTCGGTGCTCACCAAGTCTGTCGTTCGCTAGCCTCAACGCCATCCGTTTCCCGCATGAGAGGATTGCACTGCTCCTCTGACGGGTTTTCTGAAAGGAGAGTCATGGGCGCCAATGTCATCTCTGATCGCTGCAATGCCGATGCCTCTGCAACATGATCCGGCTTCGTATTCTGGATATTCCCCCGATGACGTACGTACGTGCGGCGTCTGTGCCGTGTAATGCAAGGCTTTTTCTGCCCCCGAGGAATCAACTTGACTCGTCTTGTGCAGGATTTCCTTGGGGCTCAAAGCCGTGGGGTGACTGACAAACTCGAGGTCCAACGACCCGGACGGCTTGATGACCAGAGGTTGGGGGACCACTGCGAATTCAAGCTGAAGCCGGTTTACATCGTCTCACTGGGTACCTTGATCTATGATCTTCACTTCGGCCCATCAAGCGCCAGCTTTGCTTACAGCATTGTATTGAAAGGACACAGGTGGCAGGTTTATGTCAAGAAGCCATCGCGGCTGGCTTTGGCATCGCTTCCGCATTAGTAAAACAACAAGAGTAAAAACCAACCTGCCGTATCCGACATCCGTGAGAACCCAGGACGGTAGGGGTTGTTGGTTAAGAGTCTTCTCTCAAGTCCAGTGTCGTCGAGGCCCTCCGCCTCTCCGCAGGCAAGACGCTTCCTTTAACGACCCGCCGCCCCTGCCTTTCATTTCCCTACTCGTGCATCATCCCATCAAAGCTCCCGTGCATTGCGTCTCGTTGCCCATCCCAGCTCATGTCGTTGCGCCCGCCTCTCAACAGCTCTATCCACGCATACAGGCCTTATACGACAACAACGGCCCGTAAGTTGGTTCTCAAGGCCCTCGGGTATCATACATCATTCCAGCTTCCATCTCGCAGACCAGGGCTTATTCTACACTGACCAGGTCATCGCACCAGGACGCGTCAATTTCAGGGCTTTCCTAGTTTGAAGACTCTTAATCTCGCAGACCACTTCCGACAAATAATGCCGGTGTCGCTCGTGGCGACATCGAGACGCAGATTTGAGGTGATTGTGCGGCAGTCATCTAACCGAAATCAGTGCCATGGGTTTGGGTTACCCATAAAGCCCTCCTCCAACGTTCGCTCCTCGAGGTTGCGGATAAAGTCTCGATTGCCTCTTCCACCTTGTTGGGCCCGGCTCCCGCGTCTGCCTGCCCGACCAGGCGTGTTGTCCATACCAGCCATACCTCCGTCAGCAGGAGGGGGGTAGTACGCTGGACTGGGTTGGAGTCGGATGGGTTGGCTCGGGTCAAGATGACTTGCCACACGTTGAATAGCCATGGGGATACCACTCTGCTGCTGCTCCATGGTGGAAGCACGTTGACGAGGGGGCCGCATTCCCGTTTGGGGGTAGAGACCAGGCTGCTGGGAGACATTGCCGTAAGGACCGGGTGGCATTTGCTGCGGCGCTTGAGCCATCGGCATCTGCGCATACCCGCCTTGTTGCGCACCATATGGCGGTGGTTGAGTTGCGTGGGCGTTGCTTGGAGAGTACATGTTGTTCCCGTACATCGGAGTGCCTTGGGAGTGTCCCGGCTGCTGGTACTGTGCAGCCATTGAGGCATAAGCTCCTTGTGCGGCGGAGTTCGCCTGTGCCTGAGCCGCCTGTGCCCTTTGCTTGCTCAAAGCCTCAGCCTGTTGCTGCTGTTGAGTACCCGGTGCCGGGGACCTATTCAGAGAACTAGACTTCAGGTTCATCGGCGGTACAAATGGCCCAGTGAATTTCTGCTGGGTGATAAACGGGTGCAGCTTGGCTTGCTGCGGCGACCAACGCTCCAGAGGGTTAATGTTCAATAGACCCCTGACAAAGTCAATGAAGGCGATTCTATTGTTCATTTCTGTGCTTCACGTCAGTATTTGTACATAGGCTGCCCAAACTAGTCTGGCTCACCTCTGTCGATCTCGCTTTGCTTCATGTTCTTGCGCGGCATGGGGTAGGATTTGATAATCTCCGGGAGAGTGTTCGCCTGGAAGTACTTCTTGCTAGGCTGCTCCTTTGTCGAGTGTTCCCTGGCGTACTGCTCCATGCTCTTTAGCTGATACGTTCGTCGACCAAACTCGTCCTGTCTTTTCTCGAAAAACTCGCCAGCTTGCTTGCCCATCTCGATCATCCAGTTTGGTGGGTTTCCAAGCATGTCTACGATACGGGAAACCTGGTTGTACTCGGAGGAGCCGGGGAACAGAGGAAGTCCCAGAAACAGCTCTACAACGATGCAGCCAAGTGACCACATGTCGATGGCAGAGGAGTAGGGAAGTCCCAGCAGAACCTCTGGAGATCTGTAGAAACGCGACTGGATGTAGGTGTAGACTGTTTGGCGTTCGTCACATGCGGATCCGAAATCGATAATCTTGATGATGGGGCTCTCGAGATTCTTGAGCAAAATATTCTCCGGCTTCAGGTCGCAATGGATGAGACGGGCTTTGTTCAGCAGTGCCAGGCCGTTCAGGAGCTGTTGGGCAAAAACGCGGACGAGAGTCGTGCTTAGACCTCGGAACTGGTTTTGCTTGATCAGCTCGTACAAGTTGACACTGAGAAGCTCGAACACCAGACACAGGTGTTGGCGATGAATGAAAGTGTCCTTGAGTCGCAGAAGGTGGTGGTCATCGTTCTTGTCGAGCTTGGTGTTGAGCTGGAAAATAAACGTCAGCGCTAGGGTCAAGTCAAGTTCAGGGGAATTGTCTGACCAGGTCCAGAACAGACACTTCCATCATACTTTGGTTGAAGTATGCTGTGCGGTTCTTGATGACTTTTACAGCCACGACCTCTTGAGTCTTGAGATTTTGACACTTGACGACTTGGCCGAAAGTGCCCTGACCCAAAACATCGAGGATAAGGTACCGATTCCTGTGTCATAGGTCAGTACCATCCAAACGGCGCGTATCCGTTCACTTTTTATTGCAAACGCACTTGTGACCAGCTTCTTCAGAGCCCAGTATGTCGTTCACATAGAGGATGTAGTCGCTGTCTTCGTTGTCGTATCCGTCGTTCTTCACGCCCTTGCTTGGCTTCGTTAGGACTCGACGGGGGTTACGCGAGGATTCGTATTTGAAATTCGGGTTGCATATTCTGTAAGTGGCAGGCAGGTGCACCGTGAGCGCTTGCAGGGGCTGGCAGAGTGGGTTAACAAGGCTCGGATGTGGTGCAATCGCGGGGTATTTGTGCTTACACTGATAAATCCGCCTTCCGGGTTGGCACGGCGGAAAGGAGGCTGCGAGCTGACCTTTGGCCGAAGGTCTGTCGGCCCTCTGCATGGTCTGAATTCGGGAGCAGGTCCTCTCTGAGGAATCGGGCGTCGCGGTGATTTGGGGTCGGCGGCAAAGGCACTGTCGAGGGCGGCAACAGTGGAAGACGGATAATTCTCATGGCCCAAGGCGTAGGGAGACATGGGGGGGAGCTGCTGTCCCTGCTGGCGACTACCATAATGGGGGCTCTGTGGGAGATAGTCGGATTGTCTCGTCGGGGACTGTCGTTGTCCCGGAGGTGATGCGAACTGACTCTGTGCGGACTTGGGCGCGTAAGGCGAGGTGGGGGACAGGGCCTCCATTGGCGAATACCGTTGGGCAGCAGCTGAGGGCTCTTGGGACGAATACAGCGTGGAAGACCGACTGCCTGAGAGATGGGACTGATGATGAGGTCTCATCGGGTACTTCATTCCAGCGTATGAGTCTTGCACATCGTGCATGGGGATGTCGCCGTTCCCGTCGCGCATCTGGGGAGTGGACATGGGGGAGGTGGCAGCGCTGGCAGTGTGAGAAGAGATACCTCCAGGGCTCTGATATTGATCGTACTTGAAGCCGGCAGGAGGCTGGCCCTGGGGAACCTGCTGTCCGTTGTAGTCTCCCCGTGGCATCTGGGCGCCAGTGCCATTGTATCTCCTCGCAGTGCCGGCCGAGTCGGCATAGCCCTGCTGCCACTGGGAGTCCATGGCGGAGGAGGAACGATGTTGACTCGGAGGAAAGGGAGCGTTACGGTCGATCGAAATCGGTTGGATTGAAAGATGGACGAATGCGCGGTCGTCGGTGATGTGAAAAGGAAGAGGACCGGGGCCGGGTAATTGAGCTGATGTCGTCGCTGGCTTCTGACTGCACGCGTTAGGCGGACAAATGGGGCCGGGCGACTGGCTGCGCTGGGAATGGTAAGGTTGGGAGGGCAGGTCGCAGGCACGCAGTAGTGCGAGTCGCTTTGGTCAGGACCGGCAAGGTAGGTAAGTATGTAAGGCTCCCAGGACAATGCCGTCGTGGATGGGTGGCCTGTCTTGGGTGGCGCCTGATGTGTGTGTGTGTGTGTGTATGTGTGTGTGTGCTGTTATTGCTGGGGACTGCTCAGCGCAGTGAAATGCGGTACGATGACTTGCGCCGCGGGCAAGGACGCGGGAGGGTGGGATAGTGAGGATGGGGGACGACGGCGGGTTTGTCGCAGCACCTTGGAGTGAGGCACTAAGCAGGCGGCAGGACTTGGTGGTCGGGCTCAAGCTCAGGCTCGAAGACTGATGCAAACCAAGCCCGGAGTGTGGCAGTCGCCGCAGTCGAGCCCTGAGGACAAGATTCGGGGGGAATTGGGCTGTGTCAGCCCAAACTCTCGTCGTGGGAATAAAGTTTGAAGCGGGAGGTTGGCGGTATTCTTTTTCTCGGGAACCTGTAGTGATAAACCCGTCTCAAGCCTTGCGAAACGAATGTGGCCGTGAAGGCGACAGAGAAACCGATGGGCTTGCGGAAGATGGAGGAGGACCACGTAGATTGACGACGGGGCTGTGGTGTGGTGGTGGAGGAGCACGAGGAGCTGAGATCAAGGGCGCGAAATGGGGGAGGGGGAGGGGGCAGTGATGGATGTGATGGGAGAGAAAGGATGCGATGCGAGCGTCCGCGGGCCACGATGATCACTGGAAAACAGAGCGGCCGTAGCAATACAGTCGCAACCAGTGTGGACAAGCACTGACTGGTCGTGGAGAGGTAGAAAGAGAATGTGTGTGTGTGTGTGCGTGAGAGAGAGCGGGAGAGGGAGAGAGACAGCAAGACACAACACAATGGAGGCGGGAAGCAATTAAAGCAGCAGGCAGGACAGCGCAGAGACGGGGAACACGGCCAATTGCTGCTGTGCGGCAGACAATGTCAACTGACGGGAGCAGCGAGCGTTGTTTTGCTTGATCATAAGCTACACACACTAATTACAAGGACCCGACCTTACTGTCCGCGTTTGGCAGTGGACGCCAGCAGATGGACGCCCAAACACGGCTGCTCGTCAAGCTCCCCTATGTCAGACAACTCATGACACTTTCCACAGGCCATCCAGCGATGCGCAAAGGCCCAAGGTAAGATAGTGAGTTGGAGACGAAGCAAGCGGGTGGGTGGGCTTTAACAAGGGTGTCGAGTGTGAAGTGTACGTGGGGTTCGCGAGTCGATGAAGCAGCAGTCAGGGAGACTCAACAGTGAAGGGTGGGCAGAGAAGCCGACGCAGAGTAAAATGCAGGAGGCAGCAAAACCGCGGGCCATACTGGAAGTCAAGGCCAATGGGGTTTGCAGCGGCGCCAAAATCCCCGCGGGTAAAGGTACGTCAGGTTCGGATTGGGTTTCCATGTTCCCAACCGGTCGTGGACAGGTTGGCCGGTGCGCGGTGGAGAGGAGTGGACAGGATGCTGGGAAGCTTCCCATCTTCTACACCATCACGGAAGCATTTCAATTCGTGGACATGAGGAAAGCTATACAGTTGCCTTTGGCCTCTTCCGGCGTTTGCAGCTCAGAGGAGGCTACGTTCAATAGGTGTGACTTTGCGACGACGACGACGACGACGACGACGACGACAACGTGGGTCCAGTCTGGCCTGGAAACAACGATTGACTGATGTGCATCTGATCCAATGGCCCTGAGTGTGTGCGTTGCGCGCCGCTCAGAGCACCCCAAGCACTCGAATGTGGGTTTGCTTTAGCTACCTTAAGCCGAGCCCAGCCCAGCCCAACGTGCCAAACGGTTCCGAATATCCGCTCCCAGCGCAAGGAAACGGAAACTGCCATTTCGAATGGGAAGCTGAGACGTCTGCTAAGAACCCTGCTGCTCCAAGAGACTAATCTTGGTCCTTGGCTCTCTCTTGGTCAGAAAGCCTGTCGCTGCTTAGAAACCAGAGCAGGGTTGAACAAGATGAGCCTTTTGTCCACGGCAGACCTTGGTGAGGTAAGGTACTCCGTACGGATAGTGAGAAAGCACAAGCAAGGGCCGCACCGATTCTTCATCAGTCCCCCGTCGCTGCAGATGCTGCCGCCCTTCATCCAAATTTGCTCTGCGTGCCACCAAAAGAAGATAGATATGCCCCACATGGCGATGTACCTTCCATTCAAGCGAAGAGCGACAACCTCCCAGAGCTCTGATGACTGCGGAATGCGGTGCCCGTACATGGAGCAATTGACGGTCTCAGAGCGAGCCGATCATAACGGCCATCATTTTCCCCCCTGTATCATTCCCGCTCCTTATCACTCAACCTCAAGCCAAGAATCAAGGAAAATTCAAGGTCGAGTCGTCCCAAGAAGGCACGAGAAGCTCCTGCAGGTGGGCCGCAGCTCTGCGCTACTGCAGTACCTACGTGAGCTATCTGACCCTCGCCTCGCTCGCTACTTTACCTGACTGGCAAGGCACAGAAGGTGGGTTGAGGGTAAGTTTTATGACATGGGCAACAGCAGTAACGCTCCTCAAGAACCCCTTTGACTCAATCGGGATCAGATAAAAGCATACGGTATATCTGTATTTCCTTACTCTCTTCTTCTCAAGATATTTGCTAGAGAGCTGTGCACCAAAACCACATCAGCGGAACCGGCAGGAGTGATGGTCTTGCAGATGACGACATGTCAGTCTCAGAACTGCTGGGCAGCTTCTCTCTCGCTGTTTTGTTTCCCCCTGCCCATACGTGTCGTCATTCGCAGGGTTCTCCGGGAAGGAATAGGTAGGCTAGATTTGGGTGGCTGTTATCCAGGATACCGGTGTGCCACAATGATTAGATTCCAACACACGGGGAGTCTCTGCGGCACTCAGTTGGCTCCAAACAGCATCTGTAGCAAGTTTTCGCGTCCCTCGCGCTGAAAAGCATCAATCGGACGTTACACCATCCTCTCAACCAATACAAATGCTGTCACGTAGATCTCACCATGCACTCCAACATCAACCGCTAGCCCGCCTTGAGGTTCGGCGAATGTCTTGCAATGTTCTTCTTTAATTTCTTTTCTCGTTGTTTCAAGCCTTTTCTCATCTTGTCGCACGAACTCGCTAATCGCTTGTCGCCTTCCACACTTCCTAAACAACACAAACATCGCAGCAACCCCAAACTGCACCTCTCCTCTCTTCTCCAGTCTGATTCTGGTTCGTACATATCTAAAAGGGGGAGGGGAGGGGGCCGGGGCGTGTTCCAAGTAACTGGGACCACACACGCATGAGTGAGAAAGAAAATGGGTTTTTGGGTCCAAAAGAAAAGGAAAGAAAAGAAAGTTGTGTCATAAGCTCGTCAATCCAACAGATCCGTCATGCTGAAGAGGTATCCATGAGAGAACAGAAAGTAGCAAACTTTTATGTCAACGGAACAGCATATCAAGTCTGCCTCTTACCCCGACAGGTTGAGAGAAAATGACCGCGTAAGGAAAGAAGAAGAAATATCTGTGACTTGTTGGGAATCACTTAAGGCCGTAGAAGGAAAATACGAAGACGTAGTAAAGAACATTCCGGAAAATGCACATGATGGCCCCATCGCACTCCAAGTGCTCACACAAGAGAAACCGACACATGTCCCTCATCGCAGATGAAAGGAGAGACAGAGAGAGATAGAGAGACGCCTTGGCAAGAAATGTTTTTTTTTTTTTTTTGGAAAACATGGGAGATGTGTTGGTCATGCCATTTCTGCCACCAGAAACATCAAGAACTCCTCAAAGATACCCCTAAATCCCGGCAATCGCTGTGTATGCGCGCAAGCATGAGAGAGAGAGAGAGACAGAGAGAGAGAGAGATGTGCTTGTTTCGACCAACACGCATGGCGATACGCTCTGGCTTGCCACCAAGGCCGTTTCGAACATCTAGCCCTGGTATCCGGCGAAGCCGTTGTTGAAGTTCTGTCCCTGAGGACCCTGGGGCCACTGGGCATTGGGTGGCTGTTGACCACGACCGTAGCCTCCTGCGCTCTGGGGTCCGCTGTATCCCATCGGCTGTGCTCCGTAACCGGCCGGGGATTGAGCAGTCGGACCGGCAAAGTTGCCATGCTGACCGCCGTACTGACCTGAATGAGAATGTTGTTAGTCCCAACCGATGCGCGAGCTGTAGTCCGAGTTCGAGCACATACCACCATACTGAGGGAAGTATGCCGTCGGGGTGCCGGGGTAGCCTGGTCCGGAGGCACTCTGCGGGCTGTAGGCCTGCTGCGAGGGGTCAAAGCCAGCGCTTTGAGGGTTGGGAGTCTTGTCCTTGCCCCACTTCACAAAAGAACGTCAGTGCTGCTTCTCCAATTCGATTTGGGGTGATCTAAACTTACACTGCACTTCAGAGGACGTCCATTAACATTATAGCCGTTCATTTGGCAAATGGCCATGGCCGCGCTCTCGTGACTGTCCATCTTGATGAAGGCAAACCCGCGGTCGGCCTGGAAACGAGACTCGACGACATAGCCGAAATTTTGAAAAAGCGGGACGACATCATTGGGGGTGGTATAGGGAGTCAGGTTACCAACATAACAGGTCGTCTGCCACGACGGCGTCTGGGCGAGAACGACCTCGTAGCTGGCGACGCCGTGAGCCGGGAACTGATGGTGACCAAATGGCGTCGTGGGGGTCAGGCCCATAGCCTGCATGGCTTGCTGCTGTGCGATGGATGGCTGGCCCTTCTGGTTTGCCCAGTTGCAACGGATGGCGCGTGAGCCGAGCCACTCACCATCCATGGAGCTCAGAGCCTTCTCGGCATCAGG